CCCATACTGACAGGCTGGAGGAACTGAGTCTCTTTAGTCTGAAGGGAGTGTCCCACACTGACAGGCTGGAGGAACTGAGTCTCTTTAGTCTGAAGGCAGTGTCCCACACTGACAGGCTGGAGGAACTGAGTCTCTTTAGTCTGAAGGGAGTGTCCCGCACTGACAGGCTGGGGGAACTGAGTCTCTTCAGTCTGAAGGGAGTGTCCCACACTGACAGTCTGAGAGAAGTGAGTCTCTTCAGTCTGAAGGGAGTGTCCCACACTGACAGACTGAGGGAACTGAGTCTCTTCAGTCAGGAGGGAGTGTCCCACACTGACAGGCTGAAGAAAGTGAGTCTCTTAGTCTGAGACTGAAATATCTTTTGGGCATGAGCCACACAGACGTCTTTATTTTTTGTTTTAAGCTTCATTATCAATAACCACTTCATTGTACAAACAGTATCTGTAACACACAATTTAATGAAATATTAGATGATCAGAATGTATACATTTATTATTTTTCAAAAGCACTAACATGAGATGCAGAAAAGTCCTAATTTTAATTTAGAGACTCAAAATACTTGCCTAAGGTATAAAAGAAAAAAAAGATTAAAAGATGTACTCGATGCTTGAATAATATCAAGAGTAGGCAGATCTTTCATGAAGTACTCAGAAAAGAAGCAGGAGTTACAAATATATCATTTGTAGACAGGTTTTGCTTTCTGGTTTTGTTTTTACAAATTTATAAATGCCAAGACACTCGGTCTCTGTTTACCATTTCAGAGTTTAGAACTTTATGGTTCACCTAATTTGATTTTCACTATTGTCATAAATGTTTATGAAACTTTTTAAAGCCCAGTCTGTTTTTCTTAGAATTGATCTCAATTGCAAATAATTTTATTTACTTTCAAGTGCAGGTCACAATGATGACAATTATGTTCACCGTATTATCTACTTTATATCCATTGTTTAAATTTTTTCCATAACTTTAACATTTTCTGAAAAAGAAATGCAAGCAGTGACTTTTCAGACTCTTCCTTCAGTTTCTCCTCATACTCCTGACGCAGTGTCTCCACATCACTCAGATATTTCTTCCTGTATTCATCCTTCAGGTTGTCTTCTATCTCTCGGCTCAGTTTCTTCTTCAGCTCTTCCTCCCGTCTCTGTCTCTTCTCCTCGTATTCTCTCCTCAGCTCCTCCTCCTTCTGTCTGATCAGTTTCTCTGCCTCTTCGTACATCTCCTGGGTGTAGTGGGCTCCTCCGTTGTCTTCCACCATGCTGTCGATCTTGTCCAGCAGCTCTCTCACCTGAGTGCGGTCACTCTGGTCTCTGTTGTTGAAAACATGGTACCTGTTCCCACACTTCTCGATCACACTCCTGAGCTCTGGGCTGGCCTTGTCAACAAACTCCTTGATGTCTCTTCCCTGTAGACTGTCTCCGTAGGTGAACAGGACTATCATGTACTCGTGAACTTTCTCTCCGAAGAGCTCCTGCAGAGCCTCCACTGCGTTCTTCTCCTCTGCGGTGAATCGGCCGATCTGAATGACCAGCAGGAAGGCGTGTGGTCCTGGAACTGAGACCTGAACACACCTCACGATCTCCTTCACTATCTCCCCTTCAGAAAATTTAGTGTCTATTATTCCTGGAGTGTCTATCACAGCGACAGGCGTGCCATTAACGGCTCCTGTCTCTTTCAAACATTGAGAAGTCACAGATGAGAAGGAGAGCTCTGATGTGAAGGCCTGTCTGCCCAGGATGGTGTTGCCCACAGCACTCTTGCCCACTCCTGTTTTCCCAATCAGCACGATCCTCCTCGTCCTCAATAAAGTATCTGAAAAGAAAGAAAACACAGAAGAAAGAGTGTTGAACTGTACTGGGTGGCTGTGTGAGCTGAGAATCCCTGTGCAGCTTCAGACCTGAAAGAAGCCCGTCTTCTGTTTGTGGAAGACTCTCAAGATTGCGCTCTGTCTGCTAGCACTGGTGAACCGAGGGGACACAGAGAGACAAAGCCGCCCCCTGATCAGCCTTGTGCCCAGACTTACTTCACTCAGCAGGAAAGGTTTGCACCAGTTTGCTCGTGCTAGAGCAGAGCTGAACTCTGGCACTCTGAGTGGTCTGTCAGTAACCCTGCCCCTCAGAACAGACACTTCAGAGGTTTCCTCTCATGTGTGCAGCTGTGAGCGAGATGTGTTTACTGATCCTTCCTGCTTTCTCTCATCTCCGACCAAATGACCTCAAAGCCACCAGCAGAGAAAGAGGAACGATACGAGTTTTCTACAAAGTGATCATGCAACAGGGAAACAGATCCACCTGATCTGTTTAGAGGAATTCTGTTGGTTTTCAGAAAGACAGGTTAACTTTACCAATTCTCCAAAAGTGGTACTTCTGTACCACTGCTGAAGACTGACTTCACTGGAAATGTCTGAGTCCATATCCAAACACTGTAATAACATAGTCCAAACCCTCCCACAGGGTCTGATATAAAAATATCTGTTCTGTGCAAATAATGCGCTTGGAAAATCTACTTGGCTTCATTTCTTGCTTTTAACACGTTTTTTGTTTTATCCCCTAAAGTGAATTCTTTTTTTCATCGTTTGATTAAGAACCTTATTTAACAAGCAAGCAGAATAAGACAATTCAATAGCTGTATAGACTAAATGGAGAACAATGTGCAGCTCGCTGACTATTACAATGACGTCGAAGCCTTCTTCGCTTTCCATAACAGTAACGAGAAAGAGTCTAAAGACATTCAATCTCTTTACTGAGCCCTGTACTGGACTTGTGAGCCTTCCCGAAGGGCGTCTGCATGAGTAAAAAAGTTTTCAAAATCTAGGTTGTTTTAAAGGCAGTAAAGGAAGAGGAATGAACCCACCTGCATCTCTGAAAGCAGCCATGTTCTTTGGTGTGGGTTGCATTTCTGAAGTGCCTGTGAACGCCCAGTGCCAGCTGTATTTATCGTGCTGAGCCGCCCTGTCCCGCCCCCTGGCTGCTGCTACTCTCTGTGTGGTCTGCAGTCTCTTCTGTTTCCCTTCCCACGCCTCCGTTAGAGGCACACACACATACTGGGACACACACACATACTGGGACACACACACACACTGGGACACACACTGGGACACACACACTCTTCTGGGGTGAAACTCTGGAGTGCTCTAGTTTGTATCTAACTGTCACACACACACACACAAAACAACAAAGCCGAAGCAAAGCAATAACCAAAGTGGAGCCATTTAAGAGTGACAAGGAGAGGTGCTGGGAGAATGAGGACAGAGAGAGCATTGGAATCAGAAGCCATGAGAGCATGTGTCGGGAGCACAGGAGAACATACAGACTCCACACAGACAGCACCCCAGGTCGGCAAGGCTGGAATGCCACAGCAGAGAGACATGCTGGTGGGTTCATTGGTCCTGGTGTGAGTGTGAGTGTGTGTAAGTGTGTGTGTGTGTGAGTGTGTATGTGAATGTGAGTGTGTGAGAGTGTGTGAGTGTGTGTGTGTGAGTGTGTATGTGAATGTGAGTGTGTGTAAGTGTGTGTGTGTGAGTGTGTATGTGAATGTGAGTGTGTGTAAGTGTGTGTGAGTGTGTGTGTGTGTTTGTGTGTTTGTGTGTGTGTGTGAGTGTGTGTGTGTGTGTGTGTGAGTGTGTGTGTGTGAGTGTGTGAGTGTGTGTAATTGTGTGTGTGTGAGAGTGTGTGTGAGTGTGTGTGTGAGTGTGTGTGTGAGAGTGTGTGTGTGTGTACCCTGCCTTGTGCCAGTGGCCTGCCAGGAGAAGATCTGGATGCAGCAGTTTCAAAACTGGATTATTTGAAGCTGTGCTACCATCTAGTGTGTGAAATGTGTACTCTTTGGTGTGGTGGTTAGGAAGTGGATGGATAGCAGTACACTTTGAAAGGGAAAAATAAAGATTTATAGCCAGCTTTTAAAAAACTCATACATTTCCTGCTATGTCAGCTAATTAAAAATGACATCAAGATGATGTCTCCTAGGTCACAAAAGAGAAAATCGCAATTAAAAAAAACCAAACAGAAAGTCTCCTCTCGTCTCATGCTGTGCTTCCTCGCTCTCTATAAAATGGGGCAGAAGATGCCCACACAGCCAGTGACTCTGTCCTGCGGTCCCTCTCTGTGTCCCTCATCTGTGGGAGGATGGCTGCTCTGTCCAGGTCCCGGAGACGGCAAACAGCACACTCACAGCAGAGGAGAGATACCAGGTGAGACTGGAACTACTGTACAACAGGTTTACCGTAAATACTGTAGAAGAGCAGCACAGACTGATCAATACACATTACCATAAATACTGTAGAGCAGTCCAGACAGATCAATACTCACACCTTACTGTACAT